AACAGGGACGCTGACAGTAAGGAAGGACCATTACACCTAATCACGCCTTTACCAAAGACCACATGCAATCGACCACTTCGGCTTGGACTATCAAGAAAGCACAGCAACAAAAGATTACATCCTTACTTCAAGAAGGACTGCAATGAAAAACTAAGCTGATGCCCACATTACCCTGGTCAACAGAAAAGGTGAACAGTGAATGCTCATGGCATTGACAGTTTTGTCATTTGACCACTTCGGAATGCCTTTGTTTTCACTGGATATCCGGCTTCTAGTCAAAAAGTCATTGAAGTTGCTCTTCAATCTGTTGGATTTGAGAACATAGGAGCAACAATGCAAAAGGATGTGTTTTGATACAGACATAATAAATATATTGTTACGAGAGAAAGTTTGACGCTGTCTCATTTTTGTGCTGCAAGTAATAAATTCATGTCATANTATTCAGTTTCTGAACTCTAAACTGATAAAGCGAGTGCTTACAATGTATAGGAAGTAGCCGGTTAGGACGATTTTCTCAAACTCAGCAAAACAACCGAAAGAATTGGCGCTTTCATTTCTAATTCAGTTTCTGATTGTTTTCCCTCAATGGGAAACTAGAAAAAAAGAGAATGAGAAAATGACAAGAAACTTCCGACCTTCCGTTACGACAAGAAAAAGAGAAATAATACCCCTGAAGGTGGTTAAATCACAAATTCTAAACGGATTTCGGGAATTTGTCTGCCGAAATTTCAAAATGTTTTTCTCAGTTGGCTAAATGGTCAGCACCCAGTGATCTCAGTGGTTTGGAATTCCTACTTTTCTAGTAAGGTAGATCTAATCGATTTGATCGTTAATCTATTGTCGTTGCCGTGGATACAATTTAGGACGTGTGTGCTAACGAAGAACACAGGCCTATTCCATTTGAACGAAAGTAGCATCTGTGGCTACTCCACAGTTATTCTTCTGAGACATGAGCACGTAGCCGTCATCGCCCCAGTGGGTGGACCAGGAGTTCTTAACTAGCCAGTAA